GAGAAAATTTATAAAATCTATGAAATCTATAAAGAATCTATACAATTGAGTGAGTCATTTATTCATAAATCTTTTAATGAATATATTGATTGTCTTTTAATAAAGGTTTTAATTGAGTTCATTAATAATAAAATGATTAAATTTTTCTTTCCTATTGCTCAATTTAATATACATTTATTTTCTCAAAAACCTTTAGATATCTAAATAGTTTTCAAAAGCTATATAATATAAATTTGAACATAAATTTCGAAGAGTATTAGAATCATTGTAAAGAAATAAAAATAGATCTATTATTATTTCGAGGTCCAGAAGAGTTAAAAAGAAATGAATGCCTTATTTTATATACACATTCCTATTAGTGTTTCTATTAATCTATTAAGTACTACTTTCAACTCTGTATTTCAACAGTATACATATATTGATCAAAAAGCATAAGATAATTTATTTATATATCTTTCATTCAATATCATTACTTTATTTTATCAATTATACTCTTGAGATCCATTGAGTCGATATTAAATGACAATAATAACATTAGTCAAAACAATCTCAATTTTAATACCAAAAACAAAATGTCAAAAATAGTCTTAATAATACTATATTTACAGAGATTATCAACACTTTAAGAATTATTTATATAATAATGAAAACGATCCATTTAAAGAGTGTACATAAGGATGTATTTTTAGATCAAAATAAACATGAAATAGTATAATACTTATAATTATAGTTTAAATTAATTTATTACAAGATAATTTAAGCTTATAGGCTCAGAATCTAAAGGATTCCTATACAGAAGATTTTCATGATATTTGAATTAGCTAATCATAAAGCTAGAATAATATTTAAATTTATAGAAATATACGTAATTAAGAAGTTAGCTTATTCTCTAGATTATGAAGAATATATAAGGAATGAAGGAATAAAAATTGATCTTTTGATAAAATAAATATTCTATAAAACAGATGAAAAGAAGTAGACATAAGTTTTCTGCTCTTCAAGTTAGTAATGAAGATAGAATGTAATTTAAATCTATAATATATAGAAAAATAAAACGATTAAGATGTGGGAAGGCCTTTAAGACATTAAAAGAAAAAGCTATATATGAAAAATAGCAATTTTGATAATTAAAAAAATGAAATATTTAGATTTTATTTTAAAATTCTCAATAATAATAAGATTGAATAAAAAATATCAATTTATATAAAGTAATACTCCTATATATTAAGCATATAATATGTCAATTTGATTGAAAAAATGTATCTTTTTAATCAATCTCCAATCTCCTTATAATTCTGGTTCTAATTTTAATTCTATATAGTATATTTGATAATATTTTAAAAGTGTCCATTTCTCATACACTTTCGAAAATTGAAATGAATAAAAGTCTATCAGAGTATACTAAACAAAAACGAAAAGTGATTTATAAGCAGCTTGAAGCTAATATACTAAGTATTAGAAGATATAATTCAATTGCTCTTACAGAATTTTACATCACTAGTTAGTATATATATTTAGATTGAAAGAATATTAAAGTCTTGAAGAAAAGTATTAAATAGTCGATTTAATACTAGGGATTGAATGATCTATAGTTGAAATTGAATTATAGGGAAGTTTTAGGCGATTATCGTTCCTGTCCTAATATAGCTTAGTTAGTTTAACAAATAACCCTATCAAAACAGTGAATCGTTTCAATTACTTATAAGAAATATAAAATTATACTCGAAATTATTAATCTGTATACTAGTCTATTCGTATTAGGAAGTAACCATGTGAGTAAATATCGTTATTACCTCGTAATATATAATAAGCTTTCTTTTATATCGTATTTTGTATTTTTTAATACTAAGCAAAATTATATTTCTTTACATATTCCTAATACAATGTTTTGAGCTACTATATTAACTCGAAAACTTTATCCTTATGATTAGTGCTTTCTAACTAATATATATATATACTTTAATCTCGATACTAATAGATAATAATTAAATTAAATTAATAGTTAGCTCTTACAAACAGCCGACTAGTTTCTAGTCGGGGAAACCGAGTCACTCCGGAAAGCGAATCATTTAAGTAAGATTTTGATACCAATTGTGTTAGTAAAGCTAGATTAATATTATCACTAACCGATATCCCTATATCTTACACTACCTTATATCTTATATAATCTCAAATTCATTACTATTATGATTTCAATATTTAATAATAATTATAATTCATAAGATATTAAATTAGTATTATAATTACTTACCCCCTCCTAGTCCTAGTTTTCATTCTTTTTTCCTTATTTTTTAAATTATCAACTTCCTTATTATCTAAGAGTTTTATAGCTTTTTGAAATACTAGATTTATTATAAAAAAAGATTTTAAAATACTTTTAATCTTTTTAATAGGTGAATTTAATATTTTATAAGTTTTTCTTATTATACTCTTTAAAATCTTATAAAATTAATAACTAATCTTTTCTTACTAAAATTTCTTTTGTGTTTTAAAATACTTCTTTTACTTTTCAAATTACTTTTCAGTCTTCTTTAGTTTTTTAGTTTTCTTATTTTAATAAATAACAAATTATTTATTGAATTAATATATCTTGATTCTCAAAATGATATTGAGGGAACATAAACACATTCTATTTGCTTTCTTTCCTATTAGATTTAACCACTTAGATTAATTTCTTTCCTTTTTTTCTATGTTAATAATCATTTCTAATCTTTCTACTCTATATAACAATTAAACACTAGTTTGAATTATATCAATAAAAGCAATCTTAAAAAACTTTAAAGTAATATTAGGACTATTTTAATACTAAAACTTTAATTTAAGTTTATGGAGAGCTTATATAATATATAATATCTTAAATTTACTCCCAGCTAATTATATTAATATAAGTATAATATAAAGAGAAAGTTAGACATAATACTAGTAATAACAACTTTTATATATATAGAATAAATACTTGTTTTTTTTTAAAGAAAAAAGTGTATTATATACCATACAAATTTGAATTCAAGCTTTTTTAAATATAATTGAAAAGTTTTGTTTAGTAATTCTAGATAATCCTTTATTTTTATATAATAAATTACCTGATATTATACTATGATTTTATGAAAGTAGGAATAAAAAATTATAATTAAAAAATTGAAGTTGATATATAAATTATAATAGCAAAATCAGTAATATTGTGTACAATTTGTTATATTTTGATATAATTATAATAATTATTTATAACAAATAGATAATATTCTTTATTTATTTTTAAATATATATAAGACTAAAAACATGTGATAAAAGGCACAAATCTTTATATCAGTTTATTAATCTAATCAATTAAATCTTTTTTTAATTTTCTATTAAGGTATTAATGAGTATCTTTATAAATAAAGTTATAAGGAGTTGATTGCTTTTTATATCATTAATATAATATAAAGCAATCGATGTTATAGATTTTTGTGATAACAGTTATATTAGAATTCTCTTTAACTTTAATTTGAATTATTACTTATTTTATATAGCTTTTTAGAGCTAACATAAGATTCGATATAGATACTATAGTTGATGATTTTTGAGATTAAAAAAATTGTTTAAGATATGAGGTAGTATAAGATGTAGGGATATCGGTTAATATATATAATTTAAAACACTTTTTATAATTGGAAGCTGATTAGTTTAGAAAGTATATAAGGTCTATATGTATGATTAATATATAAATATAAAAACGAAAGTATTTGATAAATTAGTAACTAAAAGGAAGTAATTAATAAAATGAGACCTAAAGAGATATAATTATAGAATAAATTTATAGCTTTTTAATGATATGTTTGTTTTATTAATAAGTTATTATTTATATAAGAAATAATTAATTATAGGATCGAATATAAGTTTTGAAGTATTTAAAGGTTTTAAAGATTCGAATAAACGTTTCTGATTGGTTTAAAGATTTGAGAGATATAATAAAAGAGATAAAGAATCTTAAAAGATTTAGAAAGAGATTTATTAGATTTATTAGATTTAACGGCGCCTTCGGCACCCCTATTCGAGCTAGAAGCAAGAGACAAGCGGCGTACTATTATTATTATTTGATTTCTCACCCCACTTGAACTAACGTACAAACTATTATTTCAAAAAGCCTATAATCTCTGAATAGTTTTAGGATTTATATTTTTAGAAAAGATAGAAATAGAAATCTTATTAATTTTAGGATTCTAGAAGTTATATAACATAAATATAAGCATAAATCCTGAGTAATATTAAAAATAACCATTGAGAGTATTAGCGAGCCTGTTATTATTTCCAATTATAAAGAAAGGGCCGAGGAAAAGCTCGTTAAATATAATATAACTAAGTAGCTATTAATTTAATAAAGCTAATGATATATTCGTTTTTGAAATCACTTAAAAGTTAGTAATTATATATTAAAAATGATATTTTTGTTATAAAATATTAGATTTTATTGATCTTAATAAGAATACTGACAAAATCTGATAGAAATCATTCGTTTGTAAGAATATTTGTTTTCCCGGATTAGAACCTAATCTACTGCTTATAAGAGCTAATTATTATTTCATGAGAAAATTACTAAAACGGAAATGCCTTTTAAAATCAAACATTGTATATTTGCGACTCTCTTTCCAGCAAATTAGTAGTCGCAATTAAGATCTGTTAGTCGTTGGCTAGCATTTCCCGGACTTTGTGAAATTCATTCTTCGTTTTCCCAACAGGACGGATCAGAACTGTCGTCTCAGCTTCCACGGTTCTTTCGATCTCTGCTATGGCCTGACCTGCTGCATTTCAAAGCACATCGATCTCTCTCAGTTGTTGATCAATCAATGCTTGAGAGCATTTTATGCAACGTTTACTCACTCGATTGGAATCTAAGTAGGCGGTTGATTTGGTCGACAAAGTATTACTGTCCAGCCGGAAAGTGTCCCTTGGTATCTAGCTGCGAGAGCCTATTAGGCGAGATGCCCTCGGGTACTTTGTCAATCACTTCGATAGTCTCATCAGACATCGTTCTCTAATTTGTCGTTATACCAATCGTTCGTGTTTCTTGTAAAATCTCTCAACTGGAGATGTTGGCATGCCTGGACTTGGTTTTTACCAGGGTTGTAACAGCATATGTCTTGTGAAGAATTTTAATGCTAAGGCGTGGATTATCCACGCGGGGATAGTTGATGAGTTGCCCGGAACCAGATAATTCGACTGAGCTGTATTGAACGAGTTTTTGCATTAGGTTTGTAGGAACAGTTGCTGTCAATCTGCAAGGCCGATGAAATGCGCGCTGTTTGACATCTGTTATCAAGCATTCATGGAAATTAATAGCTGTCATGATCATGGCGATACTGAAAATCAACGAAGACCTCACAAATTGCTTCAAGACAAGCTTAGTATTCCAAGGAAAAAATGGCTGCGTATAGTGTTGGAGAGTTCTAGCAAGAGTGTATGATATCAAGCTTCTACTTTTCAACCAGTGAAGGAATGTGTTGCCATTGATATGTCATAGATATAGCTTTAAGGTTGTACAACACGTTTTTGAAAAAATAAAAACATGTATTTGGGATAGGTGGAGCAAATGAAAAAGTTCTTGTGATGCTTCAAATGTTCAGAATTCTGTTGTCAGTGAGCAGCTTGAGAGCCCCATTTCTGCTCCAGCTCAAGCAATGACTTCACTGAGCCAACAACGGATTCTTCCAAATTTTTGAAGTTCCAATCTCGGCCTTTGGCTTGTCGAATTATTTCCAAACTCCTGGCGTTGTTCAATTGGGTGGGGCGCAGGCCTTTTGGAAAAACTTCCTTTTCATCACCGCCTCTCGGTAACCTTCCTTCCAGTTCCAGAAAATTCTTCCGAATAACATTCACAACCAACTGGGGCGAGAGAGGACCCGAGGAGATAATGTGACGTTTGTTAGCCATGCGAGGAGAGGTGAGTGCGATGATATGTAAAAGAGCCACGTCGCGAACATCAACCTTTGCATTTATTAGTTTGATGAACAGCAAGAGGAAGCAGTATGTATAGAGGAGGAAAGAACTTACAAAATCCCAAAAGCCAAACATGGCATCACCAACGGTCTCATGGGTGCCATTGATGAAAGCATAGCAAGCGAACTCGTTAGTTTCGTTAACATTTTTGGGACTGGGGACAGGTTGGAGTATAGGGCCAAGGACTACATCAGGATTGATCACAACAAGTTCAAAAGCCGGCTTCTTTTCTTTCATGAAGCACCACTGTTATTAATGTGTTAGTAACATTAAAGAAGGATCACCAAGTCAATGTGAAAATGCGTGTTCTAGCCTGGAGGTGGGAAGGGGGCTTGCTTACGGCCGCTAGTTCGGCATTCTTTTTGCCAACATTGTATCCGATGAGAGGGCTTTGGGATGACACTGCATCATGCTCAGTCGCCTGGGAGTAAGATTAGCCACGATGCTATGTTGTGAAGAGCAAGAAATCTGACAGGGTTCCAATCATCTTCGGTATAAGGTTTCCCCTCAGGAGCATTCAAATCTTCGAATGAATCAAGAATAGACACAGCACTACCAAGTAGAACAAAACGCTTCACCTGCTTGCCTCCTAGTTCGTGAGTAGCTTTGAGTATTTCGGTAGTGCTTTCGTGAATGTTAGAGAATGGCCATAAGAGTGTGCAGGCTTGTGTAATTACCCATGAACAGCCGGATCAATCAAGTCTTCCTTCACGTCCTTTACAGCAAATGTGACTGGAGACGCGGTATGAATGATGTAGTCGAAGCCGCCTTTTTCAGCTTGATCTCTGAAAACATGGTCAAAAGCTCCAGGTGTTGTGATTTCAGGCACAAATACAAACTTGACCTTTCCCACCCATTCTGGATGAAGCTCGAGAATTTGATTGGCTTTCGTAGGGGATCGGACACTGGCAATAGGTTTGTACCCATTCTGCGAAGTCCATTAGATACCCTCGGAGTTATATAATAACAAATGGAAGCATACCTCAATTAGAAGGGAAAGGATATGAGAAGCTATGAAGCCACTGCCCCCAGTCAAGAAGACATATTTTCTTTCAGTAGACATATTGTATATTGTAGTTCGATTTGATGTTTATAAGTTTGAGAACTGAAATGGAGGGATGAGCACAAGATATACTTTAATCATGCGGAGCTGATGGCCTTAACCTTTTAAATTTATTGCTGCTTTGTCATAAAATTGAGCATCGGGATGTTTACTAATCGCGTTTTGCAGAAATGTTCATCTCCAGGAATATTGATGTAAGCTTCGCACATAGAGGGGCTTTGTCACCTGTCCAATGACCAATACTACTACCCTAACTTGGTAGCACCGGCTACCTGAAAACGACAGATGAATGCTGGAGCCGGTAATGATTACACAACATTCTTGCATGCAGTTGTCCGTATATTGCTAGCAAATAAAATCGCCGAAAAGGTCAATCATAACGATTGAGGCGTCATGATGGTATGTCTCACATGGATGATGATGATGCATCAAGATACCAAGAACGCAAATGGCAGGGAGATACGGAGCACTCATCATTGCCGCCAATAAGAGCTTTGAAAATTCCATAATGCCTCGAGAATTGATCGCTTGTCATCGAAGCCGATTGTAAGTACACCTCAGAACTTGTGAAATAACTCCTCATATTAACGTCTTATCCCCGAGGTAGTTAACGGAAAAAACATTACGTAGTTGCCTTGCATTTCGCCTTGCATCAGCAGCAATCTGGTCGCTTGGTTCTGCAGAGCATAAATTGTAGATTTTGAATGACTTTCAGACTTTGAAATCCCTTCTGAAGTTGAATCACGTTTAGACATTGAAACACATTCCAACATCAGAAAAGTAGCAATATGATTTTATTTAAATGAAGGCTTTGTAGAACTACAGTAAAATTATAAGTGTTTTGATGGAAACCGAAGTTTGATACCGATAGCCGTGTCAAACGAACTCATGCATCTCCTCTCCCCTTTACAGAAGGAATGTATTGCATTGAGAAGTGAAAGAAAAGCGTTTGTTATTTCAACTCCTTCTGTCACTGTCTCATCTACTTTGACCGAATTACAAGATCATCCATTGAATTTTCATCATATCTTGCCAGGAACACTTGTTCGAAGGGCTCGCCGTTGACGCTTTACTTGACTTCCTGCCCATTTGCAAATCAATAAACGATGGGATGAGTGAGGTCTGTATCATTTCCAAGACGGTCTTCATCGGCTTCACTAGAAACAACACAAGAGTCTGACATGATGGAGCACCTTGGGCAAGTAAGAAATCAATTCGCATTTGCGATATTGACTCCTCCCACGTCGCAAGAAGATGAAGATCTGGATTCGAAGATGTGGTTCTATGCATTGAACGACTCCATAGAAATAAAAACACTAAAACAGAAAAGGCAAAGTAACCAGCAATCTGTAGGTACTCAGGGACTTGAACCATGGGAACGATGGGTCTTATGGAGCTTTCTAGATTGAATCCACATCATCGTCTGCACGAAATAATATATCTTCATTTAGATCCTCTCGAGATCCTTTAATCCTTCGATATGATTGCCTAAGTTTCACACTGCCGCGACTTGGAATCCTTGACCGCCGTTCTCACCTCGCACGGAAACTTCCAACACTCAACCCCCGCTTTCCCTTTGCCCCACCAACTTCACCCAACACCCAAACATCTGACTCCATCTATTCGATTCATGCCACGAGTTTCATAGAAAGGATTCCTCTTAAAGCTCTCCCATATCTGTTCTTCTCCTGAAAGCTCCCATTCACAATTTCTCATTATCAATCTTTCTCAAATTTCTGAACATCTTCGATTGTCATCTCAATACTCGTCTTCTCCAATCAATCAAATTAAATAAACTCATTCACAATGGCAACCGTTAAGACAATTCCCCCTGGACAAACCTTCATCGATACTCTCGATAAATCATTCGTCGATGTCCCTGTCAACAAGGAGAAGGACAATGCAATTGCAACCACAGAGTTTCTTCAAGCTGCCGAATCCCTCACCACTCTTTTCGGTATGGACCCCTTCCTGTCTCTCCTTGAGAAGTAACGAGTTAACGAATTGTAGATGTTATGGGATCTGTAGCATTCAACCCAGTCAAGAATGATATGGCTGGTAATATCAAGGTACGATTGGCTCCTGCCGATCGAATACAAATGTGCTAACAATTTGGCAGAAAATCCGCGAGAGACAACTTGCTGCACCAGCAGAGTCAGAGACTCTCCAAGAATTGGTCGTCAATGAGCTCAAGACCAAGAAGCACACCGCTACTGAAGGTTTAGTTTGGTTGGTTCGGTATGTCACTTTCATACAATTCTATATACTATTCTTGCCATCATTATCTGCAGACATGATGGCATACATTGGCACAATATTCCTAACCCTTCTATCCTTTCTGCAAACTTCGAAATTCAAAGCTAATAGCCCGTCCCCCCACAGTGGTCTAGACTTTACCTGCATTGCTCTCTCACAAAACCTTGCCGCCCCCGCGGACGAACTCTCCGTATCCTTCCGTGCTGCCTACGGCGAGACACTAAAACCTCACCACTCCTTCATGGTGAAGCCCATATTCAGCGCCGCCATGTCCGCCTGCCCATACAGAAAAGATTTCTACGTTAAGCTTGGAGATGATAACTCCAAGGTTGAGGGTGCTTTGAGAGTGTGGTTGAGTGCATTGGAGAACTTGATCGCCATCTTGAAGGGATTTTTGGACAGAAAGGAGGCTAAGTGGTAGATTTAGGGGAAGACACTAGAGATAGGAAGGCCGTCAATTCTGGCATGAGTGAGCGAGCAAGCGATTAATTTTGAACGACTTGATATGATGAAGCGTTATGTTTTGGGAGAATAGCAAATCAACAGGAGCAGAGAATATGAACTACCTATGCATGATGACAAAAAAGTAAAATGTGACTTAGCAAGCTTTTATTTCCTAAGTGAATGCTAATCGGCATTGACATTACTAATCCCTAATTCTGTCAACACATGCCATTTCCTCATTATTGCCTATAAGCCTGCCGCATCTTCAAATGACCTGGAAGTCCTATCCACCCTTTGCCTGTCCTATTTGCAAACTTTAAAGTTTCGTCGCCATTCCATACTTCCACGGTGCGGACTAAATTTTCTAAACACTGTTCCAGTATCCTGCTACTATGTCGATGTTTTCTGTCATCAAACAGCATTTGAGGAATGTCGTGGCGCAAGACACTTGGTCGGTCCGAAAAACTAGCAAGCAATGTAAATTCATTACTTTCTGCCGTAAGGTCGAGGTATTTTGCTGAAGCAAAAGCTTGACCATTGAGCTTAATTCACCAACCCTTCCTATCTCCCTCTTCTGAGTATTCTTCTGCGTGCAGCTCTCAGTAATTGTATAGCTCCTACATAGGAGTAAACGAAGTCTTGTTTCAGACCCACGTAGAACCTATCTCTCTTAACTTTGCACATCGTTAATTCCGGCCTCCTATTATCCTCCGCCTGTTCCTCTTGGATGTCACCCTCATCATCGCCCACCTCAGTGACGGTAATGCTCGCTGCTAGGTTTGTTGTCGAACTCGCTCCAGTATTGCTGTCAATGCCAAAATCCTTTTCGAAATATACGCCAATCTCATCACTTCCTTCCACATCATCTAAACCTACAGCAATCAGTTCCGTCGCATGTCCTGGTCTTAAACTCGCCCTTAATCTTCTTCTGGCACTATTTCTACTGTCAACCGCAATACTCAAATTCTCTAAATCTGGGAATAATTCTCGGATCCTATGTTGTGGTGTTGGTAGGTCGCTCGCAACCACTGCCACAAATCGCATGTGTAAGCTATCCAATGCTACATTCTTCCATTTCTTCATCGGCGCAATCGATTTTGGTGTTTCATCAAGCAAAAACCACCTCACGTCGAGAAATATCGATGCCACACAATTTAGGAATAAGGTATCAATGGCAGGATTGAAGTAGAACGGTGTAATTCCAGCAACAGCCTCGCGGGGCTCCGTCACCGGTGGTGGATCGTATGCCATTAGACAGTAATGTTTTAGAGCCACTTCTCTTGATTCATGACTTGCATGCAAAAGTGTAGGAATTCGTCGCCTGTTTGATCGAAGTTTGGTTTTGAAGTTATAGGGTGAGCTGGTCGGACAGCTGGGGTATAATTCGTGAACGAGAGGATCGGGTAATGCATGTTCCCAAACAATTAGTCGGAGTTCAGTGGGTAGGTCAGGGAAGTGGGTGAATCGTTGAGTAAATTTTGCTGTAATAATGCTAGATAATTGACTTAACGCCATCTGTTTCTTTTTTGGAGGCGAGATGAAAGAGGTTGAGGGGTGGTTGGGTGATGTATTGTCGCCATCGTCTGCTCTTGCTGAATGGGAAATGCTATTCTTGAATCTCGTGGTTATCGTGGTTGTCATGATTGTGGATTCAGGCCTGGTCTAGAAGCGTAGATCCGATATGAGCAGAAGCTTATGACACAGTCAAGAGTAGACTACAAATATCGAGGAATGATGTAATATTAAGGCCGAAATCAATGCCTTGGGCGTCACCGTATCGAGCGGTAATGTAATGGGCGACTTTTCAAAGTATAAAGGACCGATGAATGGGTGGGAGCAGTGAATCAGAAGAAAAGTGATAAATGAATGAATATCAATCAATACTGCAACAACATTGATTGGTATTCGGGAGAATCAAGGAACAGAAAAACATCGCAAGACTAAGAAGAAAACCAACGTGAAATTGAATTAAAACGAGTACCGCGCATAGAAGTGAAAGAAATGCTTTTTCCAGAAATTTGCTATCATCGATAATGATTTGGGTGGTTTGGAGAAGGGAGGAAGAAGCGGGGGAAAGGGAAAATAAGTGCACGCACGCTACGAGTATGGTAAGGTTACATACACAAATACAGTACGTACTAGCCTACTAGCCTACTAAGTCACTACTGACTAATAATCCCAACGCTCAGCCTTGTCGTGTTTTTGAAATGTTTCAAATTAATAAAAATCTCAAGCATCTTTGGCAATCCCTTCATTTATGTTGATGGTCCATTTCGTCCGTCGAACCTGCTGAGTAGAACTGCCAATGCAACCTTCTTCATCCGATTTCAACTCATAATCAAAGGAACAATTGATCATGTCCATGTGTTTGTGCCTTGGTCGCCGAATCAAGCCCCCTCACAGGATCAACGTCTATAAAGAATCCTTCTATCTAGATTGAGGAATTTTGGATTTGGCCGTGTATCATTTGTATCTCGTCACAGTTATCGTGTAGCTCCCCGAATCGGCAAAGTGCGCCCGGAAGATTCATTACGCTGACATCACATGTCTTGTAACTTTCTTTTTATCATGCCACAGAAGCTCTCAAATAAAACACTGTCGTGACCTTTCAACCATCGAATAGCAACTTTCGTTCCTGGAGATTCTTCTTCGTGGTCCCCACATGTGATTTTAAACCCAAAAGCCATATCTTCAGGCAAACCTTTCGAGGTAACATTTGACTTCTCATCATTAGTCTCACTTAGATGCCGGCGTGACGCTCGAGACCAAACGGCTTTCTCGCAGAAGCCTGTACCAATGAATCTCGCGGACTCCCAGCTCCAAAGCGTAATGAGTTTTGATAGCATATCGTGTAGCCGTGTAGCGATGACAGCTTTGTCGCGCATGCTAACCTAGGGACCACTTAATACTCAAGATACTGTAAAGCATGACTATTGACAAACCAGACATACCGTAATCGTTTGCTCTGCTGGGAATGGCAGTAGACTCTTCTGCAAACTTTTACAACCACGAGATACTGCAATACTCGGTCTTCTGTCATTAAAGCTCCACGCTACTGCCCACCTTCTCGTCCTACTGCCCTGTATGAATTCTGTCACGGCATAGTTGTCGATTTTGTGTTTTTTTAGCTGCTCAACGACTTTCGACAAACTTGAGAACTTCCCCAACATTGAAGTATACCATTGAACTCCATTTCGTAATTGCAAAGATTCAACTATCATCCGTGAGACAAAAGACACTTCTCCACCTTCGCAGACCATCTCCGTTGCGGAACCGGTGCAAGCTGTAAATGGAGGTCGCCGTTTAAGAGATGCTGAAGAGATTAGGTCTTCGGCTGAAGTATAGAATGGTGGATTGCAAAGTGTAAAGTCTAAACTTGGAGTTGTCAACAGAACCTCCTTTTAGTTAATGGGGCTAACAATAAGTACCTGTGACAACCTATCTCATCAAGAGGTATCAACCGGCCTTTTGATTTGGTCTGGATGAGCTGAATCCGGGTTTGCAGTCCATTACTTTGGATATTAGCTCTGGCAAAAGCAATACTCCTGTCATCGATATCTGAATATGATCAAAAATTATCCTCGATTGAAAAACCCAAGGGACTGACCTGTTCCAGTAAATCTCCATGAAGCACGTTGAGCACAACCCAAAAGCGGATATATGCAACTTGCTCCAGTACCAATATCAAGCCCATGAACTTGTCGATTAGGGTTGTAAGAGTCGTTATAGATATCACTTGATGTATCAATAAGTTCCTGCAACCAAAGTATGTAGTTCAACCTATTAGGTACCTTAATTCATTCAGCTTAAAGCAATAAATACCATATATGATTGAATAAAGTTGGAGATTAGACTAGACTCACTGGTGGGCAGAGTCGGTCGTCTGGAAGTGTCAAATTCAGACCAAAGTCCCGTTTCAATAGCGATTTTGTGAGCTGCTGGACCGATTTAGGATCGCTAAAATCCAATTGGCCATTTGACTTCAAACTGGGACATGTTCAGTAGGCGCAGATCAAGTATAGAAAAAATTGCAGGTACGATAGTAAAATGAGTCGATGATCTCTCATCGGTGAAGTCAAGAACGCGGAAAATATTCCCCTGGTTAAGAACCTACAGTGTACCAAAATCTGGGTCTTCATTTCCTAGAGCCACAAAGTCAATCTCCTCCTTGTAGATATCTGCAGCTGCCGACATCTTCAAACGTGATCAATGAATTTCGACGAATCGGGTACTTAGGTAACGACTATAGGGAAATTATCGAGGCCATGTTTGTGATTTGGTACCAGGGGCTTTCAGATAGCCAAACCTGGAGATCTAACGAAGAGAGAGATGAACACTTGTGTTGATTAATAAGCACAAAAAGGCGGGGCACAAGAGAGGGTTCAAGGAGGGGTAGCTTTTGGGAATAACTTCGCGTCGTTTAGGTAACATTTAAATTCTGGTATGATGAGCTATGATATTTCATAAATCTAGCTAAGCAGCGTCGAAAACCATTATTCCAGGAGTATCATTAATCGTAATTTCTCATAAATCATCACAGGTTCTTATCATCGCTAGACTTCTGCTTCTTTGCAGCAGGTCCTCCATCCTCGATTGGCTCCTTAGTTGGAACTTCTGGAAGCTCAACCTTGCTCGCTTCTGAACTATCCTTGGCTGAACCAGTACCCTTTGCTAACACAGCTCCATTCTCAGCAGATTCAACTTCGTCGACTTCCTCCCAATCATCGTCGGCGTTGGATTCGGTCGTCGGAAAGATACGTCTGTAAGTCTAATATTAACCCCAACGAACTGTCACAAGACTGAAGGAACTTACGGAATCCATTCGTTGTAAGCGGCAACATCCTTGGGAACGAAGGTGCAAAAAATAATCTTCTCCATCTTCGAACCCTTCTTACTCTCAAGGAATCTTCTAACAGTCATAAGTGCGACGGGGGCAGCTTCATCACTGGGATAACCGTAAACTCCGGTGCTCAAGGCGCTGAACGCGATGGTCTTGCAACCATTCTCGACCGCTAAATCCAAACTTGTACTGTAGCATCCTTCGAGATTTTGTTCAGAGACTTCAGGCTTATAGCTATCGTAGACCGGCCCGACAGCATGGATGACTTTCTTACAAGGTAGCTCATAGGCATCGGTGATCTTTGCTGATCCAGTCCTACAACCGTTCAAAGTTCGACATTCCCTCAACAAATCGGGTCCAGCAGCGCGATGAATAGCTCCGTCAACACCTCCTCCACCCAGCAAAGAGTTGTTGGCTGCATTAACAATTGCATCGACTCCGAGATGGGTGATATCACCACGAATCAAGCCGATGCGATCATTGAAGAATTGATTTGGAGTTGGAGGTAATTCGTCTGCATCGGTTGCTTTGTAGGGGGACAACTTCTTCAAGTGATAGAGAAGTGATACAGTCGGTATCTCGGTAGCTGATATGATAGACATGATTGTTTTGCTCTTAATCATCTACAAGATGTTGTAGATGTAAGGTTTTGTTTGGAAGAATTCTGTTCAAAAGGAAGAAAGAGAGTAATGCGGTTAATGGACTCCAGGCTACAGTACAATTAAATATTATATTGTAGATATACCTACATACTAGGTAGGTCTAGTAGATACTACGTAACACAAGGCTACAGCTGCCCACCACGCCCACCTACCGCTATTAGACTTTCGAGTGTGCACGGACTCCCGTATTGTGCTCCAGCCACTTGCAGCTAAGCAGCCTCGTAGCTAAGCCACTAAGCCACTCTCGTCTTGCTGTTCGTATCCCTGTAATGATATCGGAATGTCGGTGCTTTCAGCCCTCTGCTTCAAAACGATTTTGACTCATTGTTGAACCCCTCCATATCAGCTTAACCATCAAAACAATCAGTGGAAAATCTCACCCACCTCTGAAGCTTCTGGACCTTGAGAAAATCTTAGAGATTGGAGAGCATTGAACTATACCAGAATCTAAACAGTTTGATCTTATCGTTCGATATGGCGGACGCAATTACCGAAGGAACGGCCAAGCTCCAGCTTGATGAGGAGACAGGTGAGATGATCTCAAAGGCCGAACTGAAGAAAAGATTGGCAAAACGTGCGAAGAAAGCAGCGCAAGCAAAAGCAAAATCAGCAGCACCACCCAAGGAAGCTTCTGCAACTAAACCTAAGAAGCCAGAAGAGACCAAAGCAGCAGAGCCATCAAATGTGTTCGCCCAAGGATTTCTCTCAGAAGTGTACAAGGAGCGTCCTGTCAAACCAGTCTTCACTCGATTTCCACCTGAACCTAATGGATACCTGCATATCGGTCATGCAAAAGCTATTGCTGTGAACTTCGGATTTGCTAAGTATCATGGTGGCCAGTGTTATCTGAGATTTGATGATACCAATCCCGAAGCAGAGGAAGAGAAATATTTCACAGCGATAAAAGAAATGGTTTCGTGGTTAGGTTTCACACCTTACAAGATTACACATTCTAGCGATAATTTCGATAAACTTTACGAGAAAGCAGAGGAACTTATCAACTTAGGGGGGGCTTATGTTTGCCATTGCGGTGGTAAGAACTACTTTGCGTATGCTTTTGACACTGGCAAATACTAATGTATTTAATTTAGATGCTGAAATCAAAGCTCAGAGAGGAGGTGAGGCACGGGGCCCGAGATTTAGATGCGAGCATGCGAACCAATCGATCGAAGAAAATTTGAGAAAGTTTAGAGCCATGCGAGATGGCGAATACAAACCTAGAGAGGCATTCTTGCGCATGAAGCAGAACATTGAAGACGGAAACCCTCAAATGTGGGACTTGGCAGCATACCGAGTCTTGGATGCTAAACATCATCTGACAGGAGATAAATGGAAGATTTATCCAACGTACGACTTCACTCATTGTCTTTGCGATAGTTTTGAGAACATCACACACTCGCTTTGCACGACCGAGTTTATTCTATCAAGAGTATCGTACGAATGGTTGAATAGTACACTGAAAGTATACGAACCCATGCAGAGAGAATATGGTCGCCTAAGCATTACGGGCACTGTGCTTTCCAAGCGAAAGCTCAAGAAACTTGTGGATGATAATTATGTCAGAGGATGGGACGATCCAAGACTATACACGTTGATTGGAATCAAACGACGCGGTGTCCCTCCTGGAGCCATCCTTGAGTTCATTAACGAACTAGGAGTAACGACTGCTCCTACCAATATTCAACTCGCTCGTTTCGATCAGACCGTTCGTAAATACTTGGAGCTCACAGTTCCCAGACTTATGTTGGTTCTGGATCCTGTACCTGTCGTCATCGAGGATGCTGAAGAGCTGGAACTCGACATCCCATTTTCACCTAAAGTACCTGCAATGGGCAGCCACAAGGTCAAGTTGACTAAAACTGTTTACATTGAGAGAAGTGATTTCAGAGAAGTTGATAGCAAAGATTACTTCCGTCTCGCTCCTGGAAAATCCGTCGGTCTATTACATATTCCATACCCAGTCAAGGCAGTCTCATTCTCCAAAGATGGAGACAAGGTCACAGAGATTCGAGCCGTTTACGATAAGGAGGGCAAGAAACCAAAGACTTATATCCATTGGGTTGCAGAGGGTTCAAAGAATGTCGAAGTTAGAATATTCAATAGTCTCTTCAAGAGCGAAAAGCCAGATGATGCTGAAGGTGGCTTCTTGAATGACATCAACCCTGATAGCGAAGAAGTTTGGCCTAATGCTGTTATTGAGTCTGGATTTGATGAGGTACGAAAACGAGCTCCATGGCCAGAAGCTGCTGGAGAATCGGAGCTCGGAAAGGGAGGTCCCGAATCTGTCAGATTCCAGGCCATGCGTGTAGCATATATGGTGAGTCATTTCCTGGATCTTTATACTTTGAAACTTTTCTAATTATCTCTAGGCAATGGATTCAGATTCAACGGATGACAAGATTATATTGAATCGTATTGTCAGTTTGAAGGAGGATGCCGGAAAGTAGGGAATTAGGGGTCATTACGCGAGGGGACAAAAGGGCTTATCAACTGAGAAGTGCATGGGATACCATAAGTGAAAGATTTGTTACAGAGAAACTTACGTGTCATTGAGAATATACTAGCATTGAGAGACGGATCATGCGCAACAATCGAAGGAATTATCGAGTGAAAAGCAAATCATGAAGAATCCGAGAGATTCACTTCAATATCCCTTCACCTCAGAATTGATCATTCCTTTCTGGCCAAAAAGTTTTGTTGCATATTTGAGAAACAGAATGATCGAGACACAATTGATTGATTGATGGTTTGTTTGTGAATTGGAAAGACTTGCAACGTTTGCGACATTACACTTCACCATCACTACCATTTCTTCGCCCACCAGGCTCATTTGCGTTGATTCCAATAGGAGACGAGAGAATGCCTCGATCACTCAATTATTATTTTCAAATATGGTATATAACAAGCATGTACTGTACAGTGTAAAAAGCTGTGTGCGATGTGGCTTGGAAATAGCAAGAAAATCAAAAGTACTTGCATAGAAAATATCCATAGATCCCGTTACTTCTTTCCCCACCAACATGGTGCTACCCCACATCAAAACATAAACATTTCATATATGTTCTATCCTTATAGATTCATATTCCCCTTATACACCGTCCTCTGTAGTTCGAGGTGCCTCTCTCGCAAAAGTAGCCTCCTTCATAAAAGGACTTCTCTTTCTAATCTCCTCCCCCTTGACCAACAACAAGACTGGAGCTAGACTCAACACTAATGCTACGAATCCTAGTAAAGAGCTTCCCCATTGGAACCCTAAGTTTGTGTAAAGTGCTGGACTTGCTAGTGGCAAGAAGGCCCCGAACGTATTTCTCCCTAATGACGCTGCCGAGAGCGCGGATGCGTTGTATTTTTCGTAGGAATCGGTCAGATAATTTACTACAGCTAGGTAGATGGAATATATTCCAAAGCCAACACAACCAATACCGAGTGTGGGGACAATCCAGGGAAGAGAAGGATAGGAGGACCAACCGTACCAGAAGAGACCCGCTGTAAATAACAGAGAACCGGGAATGGAGGAATAGAGACGGGCCTCTGGGATGGGTGTTCCTGTCTTGGAACGTTTTGCGGATTGCAGATATAGGTGGTCTTGAATCGGATTTACGAAAGTGGCGATAATGGCACCAACGCTAAGAGAGAGTTGAATGAGGGAGGTCTGAAAGGTGTTGTAGTTGTAATTTGTGGAGAAGGTTTGGGTGACAGAGGATTGGAAGAGGAATAGCAGACCCCACGCAAATGATACCCAAAGAGTTTGCGAAAATACGACCCATTCAGTGCAGAGCATCTTGATTGGTCGCTTGAAGGAGACCTTAAGTCGAGTAGCTACAGATGGCATATCAATCTCGGCTTCCGCATAGCGTGGCTCTTCGCCTGGATTGTTTTTGCGCCATTTCTTAGCTTCTCTGGCTAGAATTATATCCCCTCGAGTTTCCACCAAGAGGAACCAGAAAACGGGTAGAAGTCCGCCAGTGACTATGAGCAGAACCCAGTATATCCATCGAAAAGAGAGATATGTAGAAGTTATAGCACCACCAACAAAGGGACCGAGCGCAATTCCGATGACGCTCGTGGTTCCAAATAAAGACAGTGGCAAACTACGTTGTTGGGGACCTTTCCAGACGTCTGATATAGTACCACCAACAATATTGATAGCCACTGAAGAAGCTCCCCCTCCAAAGAATCGACACACAACCATAGTTTCGAAGTTCTGTGCAACTCCACATGGTATCAAGAAGATGAGGAAAACAATATATGCACCAAAGTATCCAGGCATACGACCTGAAGTTTCCGTCAACGGCACAAACAATAAGGGAACTATTGCAGCCCCAATATTCCAGGAAGTTGTAGCGAAAAATAAGTAGGGAAAGCCGGAGTTGCTAACGTTGAATAGAGCACTCATCTCATCGTTTCCCGCACCGTATGCACCCGCTGGGAGCCCGAAAAGAATGGACCTGCAAAGAGCCTGTTAGAGGGAGCATAAGTTGTTCAATGGTTACTCACACAATAAGGACAGCTACAGTTAGCCTCCATTTGAGTAATTTGGACCAATTGAATCTGTCCTATTCAGTATTTTTCTTCGCGGTGCATTAGGAGGAGGGAGGTCTATTTACGGATTTCTCGGGTCATTCTCGCCGTCCCAGTCATAAAGCAAAGTCCCATCTGTATTTCGTTCCTCCTGACGACTTTTTTCTATAGTTAATCTAGTGCTGCCGTCTATATCTTGTTGTCAACATAAGAAGTAGGAAGAAAATCTGAGAAACCCACTACTTCTCCCATCCTCATAAGGTGTACCTGCGTGGCCGTTGGTACCAATTTGAGTATCAGCCATTGCGTTCGTAGGAGTTTAAATTTTAGCGGATTCTCATTCAATTTTTTCTTGATAATTACAAGAAGTGCTTGATGTTCTCAAAACATCAATTGATACGTTATTCAAGGCATAAGTCATTTTAAATCGATGGGTATGGGAAATTTCTTATATTTATCACATCGGAGATCTGAAGCTTCAAATACCAGTATTTTGCCTATCTTTGCCAATGTCTTAATTACACTTTCTTACGTGCTATACGTAGGACCTTAGCCAATCTGGTTCTCCATGCTGATCGACGGCAGTTAAAGTTTTATACGATGACAGCGACCCCGCTTTGCACAGCTCTCCTACTAAGCTGTGATGTCATTTTAAAGTTTGAGAAAATCACGAGTCGGGTTAAGATCGGAACCGCCCTTTCCTTTTCCAGCACAGTAGCTTGATCAAACACGAATGTAGTTACAAACATTCCGGATTGATATGAAGGTGTGTTTCCGCACCAGGCTAATCCGAGATTCATCAATTAATCGTATAACGCGAAGGGCTAAGCTCATCTGAATTTCCCCTGAATCTGTTCTCATTCACTTTCAATAAGCGAAAACATTAAAGGAATATCGGTGAACACTCCAGTAGTCTAATTCGATAAAAGTATTTAAAAACTGCTGGAGCTCCTTTCAATCAAGCTAGTTTTTATTTTCCTGCTTCATATCACTATTAGTACATGAAAATGAGTGCGACCCCTTCAAGTAAACTCAACGGTGTACAAGAAGTTGGAAGGGAAAGGGTCATTGATCCGTCAGAAGTGGTGTAATCGCTCGAATTTGCCGTCACCGCTGTCTGACCCTAACAAAGACATAGAGGGTAACGGAATTTCTAATAAGAAGAACAACTGGATAATGACATTTTCTGTTTTTCCGGATGCCGGGTTCAGAATATCTATGGTAAGATGACACTCCGAATTGAAAAGAGTCAAATACAGATTCAAACCCAAGAAGTAGAAAGCAGATACTGAAACGGGTATGTTGTCAGGACGAATTGTTGAAGGGGAGCGTACATGGCAACATCCGTTTGTCCGATGGCTAGACGAGGGCTACAGCAGTGACAAGCAGAGATCACTCGAGTTTGAAATTGGTGGAGACATATGAATCAAAACAATCCCAAATTAAACTGGGTTGTATACAAATATAATTGAGACTTGGATAATGTTGATTTTCAATTTTTAAAACCATCACGTGAGCACAAGGAATCGTATCTTACGGATTTGCTACTTCTGGAAACGGGATATGAGCTGATCTATGAATAGCAGGATGTATTTCAGCTCTTCCGAATTCTAGATCACTTTTTGTCTTGTATTATGATAGGCTGCAGAAATTGTGACACCAAACACTTGCCTGTAAGTTATTATTGGCTCCCACCGAACGCCACGCTGAAATGGACGCCAAACGTGACATACCGCTCTCGGAGACGAAGGTACTATCTACTATCTCAATTTCGACTGCAAACTCAATAAATATCTAGAAAGTCGCGAACTCAGAGTTGTATTCATCACAAACTATTCATCATGACGCTATATACACCCCTAAACTCGGATCTGTGCCAGATCCGGCGTCTGATCCTTCAACCAGCTGTCAACTTCAATGATCCTCTCTACAGTCATCTCGATTTCGTTTCTCTGGAATCGAGCCCAGATTTTGAAGCTGTCTCATATGTATGGGGTTCAACCACACCAGCAAAAACCATCAACCTCGGTGACCGCCTGGTCGCCATCGGTCCAAATCTCGACAATGCTTTGCGCAATCTCCGTCTTCCTGCCGCACCTCGTATTCTCTGGGTTGATGCTTTATGTATTAATCAGGATGATCTTGATGAGCGAGCATCACAGGTTGCGCTAATGAGGCGGGTCTACGCCGACGCAACCACTGTGTTGATATGGCTCGGACCGGAGGCAGAGGGAAGCGAAGAAGCAATGCGGAGCGTCGAAAAATTTGACAAGGCATATTGGCAAACGTATGATTTTCAAGCCCAATTTATGGAGATCTTGTTTCGACCCTGGTTTACACGGATTTGGACGGTGCAAGAGTTCGTCATGGCGAAGCATAGCGTCGTGGATGGAAGAATGAAAAATCCTCTATTTGGATGTGGGAATGTTTGGGTCGAGTGAGTTAATGGCAATTTGTTATTCCCGAATCATCAAATGAGCGTTGTAATGCTTATGAAGATTTATACTCTGAAGAAATTGCTTGTCACGTTTGCCACAGACTTATAGATCTCTGAGAAAGTTTTGAGTACTAGCTGAGCGACTGCTGATATATTCATTCCAGATGGTTGCCATTTATCACAGCATGGGCCCATTTCTCAGACGATAGAAACATCATGGAAGAGAAATATAAGAGAGCGTATCACAATGCAGTGGTAGAGACCTTTCGACCCGAGTGGATTCAGACCGCTCATACAAGACCAGTGGGTACAGAGCAGACTTCTCTAGAAGGTGTAATCACAGGGCTGAGGACTGCTTTTGGCGAAAACTTCCTGCAGGACTTACCATACTATACTGTAATAGAGATAGAAGAAGATATTCAGCTCAATCCATTAGTATGGAGAGCCAGACATACCGTCATGAGACATTCTCAATACAATTCTGTCGAAGCGAAAGCATTTTGGAGAAGAATGGAGCTCATGAAACAAGTTCCAATCACCTATCACGGATTTCTTATGCACTCTCGTGGCACTATCCACATACGGAAGGAGTCTCTCACTCTTGAAACTGTCTTAAAAGGTACAATGAACCTGCGCTCTACCGATCCACGCGACAAGATATATGGTATCCTCGGCTTGCTCAGCGAGGAGGCTAGAGCCGCAATTCCCATTGACTACCACAAGCAGCCAGAATGGACATTTGTACCGACGATGACTTATATCATACAGTACGAGCCAAAGGGCCTAGCACTGCTTGGTCTTCTTTGGCGAACGCGCCATTTCAAAACACCCCTTCCCTCATGGGTTCCAGACTTTACCATCTCGGCTGATTTTAACGACGAACATAATCCAGTATTTTTGCGTGGAAGTTGTGCAAACCATGATTGGGAATGGCCTGAGGATTTCAGAGCTGCCGTTTCCTCGGATAGAACTACGCTATGCGCCTACATGGCCAGTTTTGGTCGCGTCACTCATATTGTTTCTTTCATCGATGGAGACCGCGATTACTACGTCTCGCGATTCAAGGAGATTGAGGCCCTCCTTACCCTCCAAGCACCGAGGAGTGAGCCTCTTTGGCGCACACTTATTGGTATCCGCAATACCGATCATGAGTTGATAGTAACTTACCCCAGAACATTTGAAGTATTGATGGGGCGTATTCCGGAGCAGGATGGTGAGGTACAGAAGATGTTTCAAGATGCAATTTTGCCTATTGTTAGGAAACGTAAGTTCTTTGTCACAGATAAAGGGTTTGCAGGTGTGGCTACACCGATGATTCGGGATGGCGATACAATCGCCATTATAGCGGGAATGGGTAGGGCAGCAATACTCAGAGATACCGAGTTCAAGGAATTGGAAATTGAGGGGAGGTCAGACGAGGGGAGAAAATCTAAGAGGATCACGGGATTTGCATATGTGGGATGTCATGATAGAGCTGGGTTTGAGTCTTTGGCTAAGGAGAACATAGGTGATCTGAGAAGACATAGTTGCACTGCGAGGGATCTAGAGCAGTGTCGTATTATCTAAAGTCGAGTTCAAGTCAAGCTCTTCATTGGTAATGGTGACCGCAAATTCTCTCATTTTGGTATTCGGTTGTGTCCCCCAGGGTGAATACAAGTTAGAGAAGCTGCAGTCAATTTGCTTAGAAAACTCATTTTCATAGAGTGATATGTAAGGAACGATGTGGATAGGTTCCGCATGCTTATTTAGAGACTAGATAGTTTATCCTGATCCAGTCACAGGGAAGCAGCTTTAGATCTTAGGGCCTACAATAATCCCTGACAAATCATGGAGTTCAATGTTCGATTCGAGTTGACACGTTCAATCATCAATGTCTAATCCAAGTATGAACATTCAAGTGCCAGTGCTTGATTCAAGTACGGATATTGAAGTAACAATGCTAAAATCGAACAGAGATGTGCAAGTATCAATGTCCGTTTCAAGTATAGACAATCATGTAATACTATCCTAGAAGAATTCACGACAACTCACCTTTTGTTCACCTCCAGGTGATGCATTAAATGATCAATTTTCCCACAAAGCCAGGTGTTTGCGTTGGCCACAACATTCAGTACGTTAGTGAGCCTTTTGATGAAGTATTCTCATGATGATATGTTGTTTGAATGGAAAGTAGTATTCACGGCGTCAAATTTAACCTTAGATATGATCTTAGAGCTCAAATCATACATACACACATGGTTATTTGTATAACGTTCACAAAAGAGGAAGCCAAGCGGATGGTGACCAACATGTAAAATTCAGAGATGAATCCCTATTTGAGATTGAAAAATGAATATACATAATCGTACTCATTGACCTATTGATGTTTCATGGTTGGGATTTAACAAGCGCAAGCATTGTGTTCGAGAGCTGCGTGACACGATTTTTTACCCCACCAAAAATTGTTCGCTTCATTCACTTTAGAGTGTCTTGCATCATAGAAAGCTCATGTACAGTACAAAGAGTAATAGTGAATTCAAAACATCAGCCACCGTTTGTTAGCACCAGCTTTCTGAGATTGACACAATTTCTAGTATCTTAAATACCTACCTGGGTAATATCAATCAACTCTTCAACAATTTCTTCAGGTCTCTATCAAATTTCGATCAACCAGCTGTTCTGATTTCCCATTTGAAACCTCCATCTTAGTCTAAACTCGAAAAAAATGTTAGCTCATATATGTCAGTGGAGAAACAAACAAGTTCCTAACCTTTCTACATAGAATTTTGGAAAGTTTGAAGCCCACGCACTCTTGCTTTCGTCATGGTTTTACCAACACAACAGGATAGAGCGCTGTGGCGAAAAGCGATTCAGACTCCGGAGGAAACCACGGATGAGGAGAGACGCAATATCCTTGGACTTGTTGATCCCAAAACTCAGCTTTCAAACTGTCTTGAGATCACCGAAATGTCCCCCGATGAATTTGAGAAGAAGGTTCTTGAGAATCCAGAGTCTTTGACAATGGAAGAATGCCGATTGATTCAACATGGATATCATATTTGGGATAATTCAGAGGCTCTGGCCGCAAGCAAGATGATCTGACCACTTGAAAATCAATTGGCTAACATCGATGCTGAACTTGCAATTTTGACGCCACATGAAGACGTTGTTCTGACAGCTGCGACTCTTCGGGCTAGCTCCTTGGGGAAGTTGCGGAACGAATCTATGAAAGTTTTAATACAAAAAGCCGCAGACGATGGCGGGAAGTCATGCGCATGGGTAGAGAGATTGATTGGCCGATCAGTGCCTCTTACTGCCATCGATATGCAGTCTTCTTGTGGATTTGTGATCTTGAGAGATGCAAGAACTGATTGCAGTAAGGAGGCTTAGGAGAATTTTAGCAAAAGCTTTGAAAATGCATTGTATACCGGTAATTCATGGCTGGTAGGGGGCGAGCAGATAAAGCAGACAAGGAAACTGATTTGGCATGATCAACTTGTTGATGAAAATAACAGTGAAAGTATTTACAGGTATGACTTCAAAACCCATACTTACACCCTTACTATTAACAAGTCATAAAGTTTTTCAAGACGTGGTTAAAATCAAGACTCAATCCGATCAGCATATTTTACAAAACACATTCCTTCTCGTCACGCCTGAGGTAGTCGCTTCATTCAACGGTAGCTCAATTACTCCGTGGATATGGGCATACGACACGACTTTTGATCTCAAAGTTTTATCCGAAACAGATACAAGCACAGTGTTTGATGGCAGATTAAAAGTTGCAGCTACTTCAATATTCACCTGGTTTTATGCTGCGCGCAAGGAAGAAATCTATTGCATGAAGCGGCTTTGGGGATGTGCACAGAAACAACCCGACCAGATCTGGGACGTTGCGACTGAGATGAGAAGATATCATGGACCTTTGGTTCTATTGAAGAAGGGTACTCATTGGCCATTTAACACCTATGAGTTCCGCAGTTGATAGTTGATGGGAGGAGACATGTCAGCCTAGTTCTAAGACGGATATAAGTATTGCCATCATTAAACGAATTTCTCACGGTATCAGGGTAAAGAGGGCTCGTGAACTACTAAATGCGGGAAGCCGAGGTAGTAAAGCAATGCAGAACAAACGCGGCTCGAGGGATGAAGTCGTTGATGTTTTATCATGTGATTTCGCAATCAATAATCCTTGTTAGTTTCATTTGCTTGCCCCTCATACCTTACGCGTTCACGTCACGTCGCGTAAACCTTATCAAAGACAAAGTCTCAACAAAACGAACTTACAAGACTTGGACTGGGACTGGGACTCATACTCAATTTATTCCTTTCTCAATTATACCCTTCATCAAAATCCTCATCAAAATCAGAATTCGATACGTCTTCGCCCACTCTGAGATTTTATTGCTTACGGATCGTTTTCCACGTGGATATGAAAGGTTGAGGTCAATCTCGTATCTCGTATCTCGCATTGATTGATCCCTCCTCATCGACCTAACCCCAGCTACCCCGCAACGTAAGACAAGACATTGTCAAAGTTCAATCAAAAACTTCTCACCATGGAGGAGCATGGGCTCGCGTTACATCGTGCATTCCATGAAAAAGCTTTGGCAGTGGCACCTAAAGCTGGAAGAGAGCCGGGCGAATTTTGGGCAGCTAGTAGGTTGCTACTTATATTGCTGTTTGTTAAATGTCTAAGTTGCTGATTGGTCCATTTGCACCCAGTACTTGAGCCTGATAAGAATTTCTCAAATTTGGATTCGGAAAATTTGCATTGGTTCAAGGTTAAAGGCAAACACACTGTTGCGAAAGTACAAAAAGCATTTCACAAGAAATGCGGGGTTGCGGTTTTACTTCACCAAGGTCATCACATGGTGTCGTTGACAAGTCAGATGCGACAACTCAACTATTTTAATGATGATATTATCATTTTTTGGAGTACGACAACTGCCTCTGGAGATAGTGTTTCTGAAACCACACGAACGCCATTACAATCAATCAATGATGCAATACAAAATCGCATGCACTCCGCATCTGAGACGCCGAAAAAATTGAAGCCCGACCCTGAACCGACACCGGCTACGGTGAAGGCAGAATCAGTTGTCTCAAATATCTCTCCAAGCCCCTTCAACACGCCTGCCATCTCCCGTTCGGGACCTGAAGTTGGACAGTTTCCAACCCCTGGACCTTTAGGATCAGGTTCAACTCAACTAAGTGCACCTCCGTCAGAACCCACTCCTGGTTATAAGGTGTTCGCTGACGCTCATCGTAAAAACTATTGGGAATCCAAAGGTACACCTGGTAGGTCATAGTCTGATAGAATCTGTATATTTGTAAGCTAATCGAGAACAGCTTCTATTGAGTCTGCTTTGAAAAAGTCATGGACTGTTCTGACGCCCGCGTCGCGCCAATTCTGGGAATCAAAAGCTCCGAAAAATGCCAACAATACACCCTCACCGGGCAATTATTCTGCGTCGAATGACCTCCTAGGTTTTGAGTCCTTTGCTGAAATACACCGTGGGAACTACACAAGCTCAAGTGCAACACCTGGTAACTTCTGCTCTAAATACAAATATCCCATACCAGCTTATACTAACTATAAAGTAGCTGAGATCGACTCCTCCCTGCGTAGAACCTGGGATAAAATGCCAGCTCAAACCTGTGAGTACTATTCAACAAAAGATGCCCAAAAGTCGAATCTTCCCATATCGAATTATGGCCCTCCTTCGCCTGGATATGCTGTTGATACCAAGCCCTTTCCAGGAAGTCCCAGTCTCTCAGCCAATGGCTCTCGTGCCTCCATGTTTGAAGATGAAACCTCAATGGGGCCCGCAGATTACGACTTGGCGACCAAAGATGAAAATGGAAGCCCAGAACCAGAACCACAGACTGTCGAACTCGCAAAGCTTAGACTTCAGAAACTCATGGATGATAGTTCACCAGAAGTATTGGAAGACGAGGTAAAGAAAACAAACGATTTCCTCAATGGTTTAAAAAAGCACCTTCAGGTACCGGAAGCTCAGGGAAACCAAGACACAAGCCATTGGCTGCAACAAATCGGTAAGTGGTGCCAGTATATTGCTTTCTTCAATCCTAATTATGTCTGAAGAAACTTTACAAGCTCAAGTTGTTGATACACCTGCAATTATCGGCGTCGTTGGAAACACGGGTGCAGGTAAGAGTAGTGTAATTAATGCCATGCTTGATGAAGAACGCTTAGTGCCCACCAATTGGTATGTTTCCCGTTCCGCTGAGGAATTGGCATGCTTATAAATCTCTAGTATGCGCGCTTGTACCGCCGTTGTTACAGAAATGTCATGGAACTCTATTGATGACCCGAACAAGAAATATCGAGCAGAGATTGAATTTATTCAAGAATCTGACTGGGAGAAAGACCTTGAACTTTCTCTGAACGAGTTGATTGATGTTTCTGGCAATGTAAGGAAAGAATCAACTGTTACTAAACAATGTCTCTAACTTCTTATCAGGTCTCACGAGATTGTTCTAATGCAGAAACCGAAGCTGGAATTGCATATGCTAAGATCAAGGCGGGTAAGTAAAAAAATAACCCATCCTATACAATTAACTTTCTAAACCTGTTCATTAGTCTACCCGAACAGAACGCATGAAATGCTAGCAAAATCCACCGTTGAAGAGCTTCTAGCCGAATTCGATGTTCGCAAAGTTCTTGGAACTACCAAGACCATTGAGAAGCCGTCTCCAGAATTCTTCTACAAGGAACTTCAACGTTTCGTTGATAGCAAAGAAAAGTCTACCAAAGAGAAAGGCAAAACTAATGAGAAGAAGAAAGAGAAGAAGACTATGGAATTTTGGCCCTTGATCAAAGTTGTGAGGATCTTTGTAAAAGCCGACGCTCTCTCTACGTGAGTACCTGAACCTTAACTATGCGTTCTTTCAAAAAGCTTATTGATTATTAGTGGAGCTGTTATTGTCGACTTGCCTGGTGTTCACGATTCAAATGCAGCTCGCGCCGCTGTGGCAGCTGGCTACATGAAACAATGCACCGGTATTACTCCAATTCCGAGCCTCCTTTGTGACCATTTTCTGATAAGATAACAGGTTTATGGGTTTGTGCGCCTATCAATCGTGCAGTTGACGATAAAGCTGCGAAGTCTCTCTTGGGAGAATCGTTCAAACGCCAACTCAAGTATGATGGGGTAAGCCAATGTGATAAATATTCCCAGCTCGCAGATGCTAATCAATAAATAGCAATTTTCGCGGATTACGTTTATATGCTCCAAGACTGATGATATTTCTGTCCTCGAAGCTTCAGATTCTTTGGGTCTTGAGGACGTTATGACAGAAGATTACGCAAAGATTGACCAAATTGACAAGGAAGTTGACAAAGTTAACGCAAAAATTGCAGAATTAAAAGAGAGCATGGCCGTTTATAATGATATCTATCACGATGCAGACGAGAGCCTAGATATTTGGGATGATCTGAGACGAGATTTAGATGCGGGTAAGACAGTCTACGCTCCCGAAGCTAAGCTTGATAAATCTCCCAAGCGAAAGCGATCTTCTTCACCAAAGAAGTCGCGCAAGAAGTCGAAGAAATCCGAATCCGAAGATGATGACGATGATTTCATTGATGATGATGATGATGAGGATGAGGACCGGGAAGTACAAAATGAAGTTTCTGATAATGAGACCGAGGTTGAGGAAGATGACCTCAACAGAGGCGAACCTTTAACAATCGAAGATATTGAGCAAAAGATTGACGAGCTCAAGGACACCAAAAAGAAAGCCCGTAAGGAAAAGGTTGCGATTGAACTTGCAATCAAAGATGCCAAGAATGAATTGAAGGGGTTCGATGCGGAAAGAAAGGAAATTGACACCAGAATGAGAGCCATCTGTATTGATGGTCGCAACAATTATTCAAAGACCGCTATCCAACAAGACTTTGCAACTGGTATCAAGGAACTCGACATGGAAAATGCTGAAGAGGAAGATGCCGAAAATTTCAACCCGGATGAGGACATCAGAGATTATGACGCTGTAGCTCGCAGCCTTCCTGTGTTTTGCGTTAGTAGCAGAGCTTATCAACAGTTGAATGGAAGATTGAAAAAGGACGCCAAAATCCCGGGCTTTCGTAATGTCCAGGAAACCGAGGTACTTTAAATTTGTAGCCCTCAAACTTATGAACAACTGATAATTGATTCTTTAGATCCCACAACTTCAAGCGCACTGCAAGAAACTCACCGAAGCTGGTCGAAGTGCTGCTTGCCGTAGGTTTTTAAATTCCCTTCTTCAGCTTGTGTTGTCCTTGTCCTTATGGTCCAGCAATGATGGAACCAATGTCAATCTTTCAGATTCGCAAAAGGCCACGGAGGCGCGCTGGCTCCAGAAAAACGTAAAGGAATTAGAGGAAAGCCTCGATAAGGCTGTAGGAAAGTGTGTTATGGAAATGAAAGACGCCCTAACCGAGAATATTTTCGAAAAGTTTAGCGAAGTAATCCCTTTGGCTGCGGACCAAGCCCCTGGAATTGTTGCGAAATGGGGCTCTCCTGTCAACAAAATGGATCGTGCAGCCGGCGGTTTGCATTTCCAGACATACAAGGGTAAGTTCTCTCCAGACGAATAATATTACCTCACTAACGATACTAGCTGTTACTCGTAGAGATGGAGTTTATGGAAACAAGAGTGGTAAGACCTCATCTTATAGTTTCCAAAGAAGCTAAAACTGACGGCCCAAGGTACATATGATTTCAATAGCGACTTGACGGAGCCAATCATGAAATACCTGGCAAGCCATTGGGAGAAGAATTTTTCCCGAAGACTTCCCTCTGTATTGCGTAGTTTCACTACAAACGCCAATCTGATTCTGAAGAAGTTTCATCAGGCAGTTGAGAGTAGAAGCCGCAAAAATGGTTCTGGAATTGCTGGCTTGTCAATGCTGTCTCAACAACTCCGAACTTACGAAGCAACGTTCTCGATCTTAACCACGGAAATGGTCGAAGCTATTAACAATCTTCAACGTGATGCCAATCGAGAATTTGTGCCTGTAATAGCTAGGAACTTGGCACCTTCTTATCAATACTGTGCTAGTGAAAAAGGTACGTTGAAATCTTGCTTTCCCATTCATTTTGGCACTAATATTATGTTTAGGAGCTGGCATGTATATGCGCATGAAAGATCATATGCGTGCTCAAATTGATCATAAACGCAACTCTATGTTCAAAGAAAGCTGTGATGAAGTCAAAACGAGTCTTAATAAGATGTGTAGACGAGTTGAAGAGAGTATGAATAACAAGACCGACGAAGTTTATTTGCTTATGCGCAGAGACTATTTGCAGGTCCTCAATGGTGCTCAAGTTGGTGGTGAAGTAATGCCAAAATGGGAACGTCACATGAGATTGCAAATTGCTCGTGCACTGGAGACCTATGAAAAGGATGAAGCGGAGAAGGTTCTCAACAGCGTGAAGGATGAAGGATCTGAAGAGACTGAATCTTTGAAAGAGGATGAGGCCATGAAGGATGCCAAAGCCAAAGAATCAGGTGGCGAAAAGAGTGATAAAATTGCCGAAGGCAGTGCAGCTCGGGGTGATGAAGCTAACGTTTTTGTCGAAGGAGATGATGCGACAGAGGCAATTGCTGTCAAAAATGAGCAGCCCATGGATGTAGAGACCGGCAATCACGAGGAATCTGAAACGTATCAAGAAGCTCCTGAAGAAGAACCTTCTAAGATGGATGTTGATGCTCCAGCTGCTGAAGTTTCTTCTGCTATTCTTCCTCCTGCTGAAGTCACCCCAAAAGAAGCTGTCTTGACCGAAGCTACTTCGACCGAAACTTCTGAGCTCCCTTCCGCCTAGACAACTATCTGTTTTAGCCTTCCTGCTCATCAAACCATCATCTACATTGTATTTTTGTAAGATATTTGCAAGATGTTTGTAAGATGTTTGTAAGATGTTTGCTTCTTTCTCTTACTACTAGGGCGGTGTTTACAGATATGACAAAACTTTCAGAATAATGGTGGTTCAGGACGGGTCTTTGCTTTTAGCTTCTGGCTATGGCTTTATTTAGGAGTATCTGGGTAAAAAACTAGCTAATGATGGGATGCGATGACTGGGACTCGACTAATATGGGTTCAGAAACAGATGCTGGGGATTGTTGCTTCAAAGAATCGTTGTGATGGGTATTTGCCTAAAATTATCTTGGTATGGTGATGTCTGCTGGCTATGAACTAGTGCATGGGGTACAAAGTCAATATCTACAAGTCCTAACAGCTGTGATGTGTTTCCGTGATCCATTATGACGGCAGAAAAGAAACAGTCCCCGTATATGATTATACTGAGCTCAAGTCACCTTGAGTATTTGACGGTAAGATGAGAGTACAGGTGCCTCTATTACTCTACATTCACATATTTGGATTGACGACAGCCATACAAGTTCTGTAATCATATAACAGATCTTTCACGATGTTCTTACTGATGTGACATTCTAAGAATCATTTGCTGAGAAGATCTCTGGATTACGAAGGAGCGAAGGTATGATTTATTTCAGGTGTTCATCACTATCTTGAACGACAACTAGGTAGGGTAAGAACGAACGGCGAAAAGAGGTAGTTTTCTCATGCTAACATTGCAAAGCTCAATTACATTCATTATCATCACCATTCACACAATCATTACGCTCGTTCAATATTCAAGAACATTTATTTACTTTCCATAGATAGCTACTTTATTATCACTGTCGTTATTACATAAAACATTTTAGCAAAGATTAGAATATTTAGTTAATATGGGGTTTCGATCCAGCCCAGCCCGACCATCCGTTTGTGCTTTGCTGACGGAACCCAAATTATCAGAGATCGTTGTTCATCTAACATTCGCCTCTTCGTCACTTTCGAGAGCAATACACGCTTTAAGGAAGACAATAAGCCATAACAAGCTCTCCAATGCAAGATTCCAGCAATCCATATCCAGCACCCTTAAAATAGTGACAAGAAAACACAAACTTCATCCTTGGAAATTCATTAACGTCGAGCTAAATTTCGAAGGGGCAGAATATATACCATTAATTGACGAAATACTGAAGGACATTTTGAGAGATTTTGCCTGTAATTTGGGACATTTCGAAGGATGTCCTGTTTCCGTGGGTACTTCTCGGTTCCTGCCAGGTAGTGGCTCTTACGTTCGTGGATTGGTGAATGTAAGTATTTTTGCTCCAGATTTTGTCTCAGCTGAAGTCGGATTTGATGAAATTACCTATTAATTAGCTTAGAATGCTCACTGATACCGTATCGATAGCACGATGAACTACTCCATTACATTCCTCGGCCTCGCATATTCAATGGGTATTCAATTCGACAAGTAAACTCTACGGAACCTTCAAATGCCAATTCCACTCCCTGTAGCGAAGCTGATGCAAAAATTGCGCAATTTACTTCAATCGGTCTTCGATTAAGTGGTATTAAGCTACGTGGAGATTGCCATGAACCCTCAACATCTGCGCAAGAATCCAGTTCGGATTCGACATCAAACAATGGCTCAGGGGAAAAGCCTCATGTAAAATCAGCTTTCTCCGAACTCTCTGAAGAGCTCAATAGGCAATCTCAACAGCTAATACAGAAACCACTAATACCTCAAAACATGAGAGCAGCTGCTAAGGGACAGCTAGCAACTGATGAGCAAACGATGCAGGATCACCAGATGAGGAAGATGCAGATGCTGGCCAATGATAAGCATTTCAACTATCAAATACCTACACACATGACAGCCACTATGAAGGACGAGCCTATAGAAACTACTAACTCTAATGATTCAGATGAAGGTGGAGTCTCAATATATATAAAACTAACCCCGGATTGCTTTGAGGTGGTCAAAGACTGGGTAGAACAAGTTGAGACGGAACGAAAAGATACCAAAAAGAAGTCATGTTCATACCCTTTGCAAAATGACAACTCTGGTACAATTTTTGAATGGCCATGGGTTCAAACCGAGCTAAATGGAGCTTCGCAGTGCCCTGCCGTGGTAGAGAGCTTCATTCTAGAAGTTGATTCCAGACCAGACAGTGAGGAAGCAGCTTCTCCCATTTCAGAAAGCATTCTATCCAAGGCAAGTCCGGAAAAATTAGCTTCAGCTGGCGTCGGGAGCGTAACAAGTTTCGAGACTCCTTGTAATGCTCTACTCGCAGCAGATGTCAAAGAATCAACTTCACCTATTTCAAGATGCCTTCCTCATCTTCGTGGAGGAGATGCTCCAAACAGAAACAGTTTCAAACAATACTTAAAGAGAATCACCGAGAGGACTTCCTATCACAACTCTCAGCATGATGTAGATCTTGGTTATGGTGGTTCTAGCTTTGCCGCGGAATTATTTCCCGAGTACGATCCAACGGTAGACTTGACGTATCTAAGCGATTGCGATGGTATCTATCGGATTGATACAATATGCGGCAATCGAGGCAATGATCCCCATGACAGATCTATCGTCAAACTCAACCCTGAAGATTTAACCCAAGGTAATCGCCTCGAAAGCTCGAGCGCCGAATCTCAATCAGAATACCATTACGGCTCCACACAGAATCTCGACATCAGCAATAGTTCTACGTATTCATACGCTGGCCCTGAAATAAATGATTTGCAATTCAGGGGAAAACCCAGAAATACGGCTGAGAGTGTTTCGATTAATAGCCCATCAAAGTCAGCAAAGGCTACCCACAAACGCGATAAGTTGCGTGCTATGGTGGAAATTCCTCTGAAATCTATCAAAGATAAATTTTGTTGCGAGAAATACAAGAAACAACCCTGGAACAATAAGGCTGGAAATAGTGATGAGTACGAAGGTAGTGAAGAAATTAGCGATAAATTTGAGAGGCCGTTAGAAACTATGGAAGGAGAAGAAAGGGAAAAGGAAAGGGAATCTTCGGGAGAAGAATTTCAAATATATGAGCGGTATGCTGTACATGCCGGAGCGGGCGGAGGCCCATACTTGAAAAAAGCGTACCGGTATCCATGGCCGAAATTTAATAACCATCTCAAAATTGCGACAAAGATAAAAGGGTTGGAGCCGAATTCACATGTTATTAAAGGACTACTTTCTAAAGACTGCGCCGAGGAGCATCACTCCAGCAGTCATGATAAAGAATCGGAACCGACAGAGATCCATGAGTTGGGATTCAAAGACGAGATTCAAAAGAAAGAGAATAGACTCAGTGTAAAGACAAGCTATCGGCTGATAACGCATTCCATCCTCAAGACAAAGGTTGCTAAGGGCATAACACAAAAAAGAAGGAATTTGGCACGAATTGCTCAAAGCCAATTGTTTTGTGACTCATCGCCTGACTTCAAGCCCTACGGACCGACAGTAATTCATTTGACGAATATAACTCAGTTAAGAGGAGGGAGTGGGAACGAAACTGAGGCTAGATTTTTTAAGAAAAACAGGCTGAGGTTCGCCCGATTGTTAAGAAATCGTTCAGAAAGTGAAGGGGCAGTAGCGGGACCTGCTCCAATAGCGACGAGAAATGATATACCTGGAATAGAAGATGGACTGCAAAGACATCATCGAGATGACAGTGGTGTTTCAGGAATGGGGGATGAGCAAAGTCGAGATAAAGATGAATCTGTGGAAAATGAAACTCCACGACAAGTCGTCAACCTTTCAGAACAGGGAGCACAAACTATTGAGACGGTTAGAGAGGTTGATTCGGATACTTCGGAGGAAACTGGAAATGCAGCACATTCCGAACATGTTGAGCATGTTGAAGATATTGAGTCTCCGAAGTCTTCCGAGCCTGAACGAGTTCCAAGACAACGACCTGAAAGGCAACAAGAAGAACATGAGATGGAACATGAGACGCAACGGCGTTTCAGAAATGAGCTTTTAGATACATTGTGGAAATTTCTTTCTCTTAAAGAGGAAATCTGGTTCAAGCGCAATGCTATCATACGTGGCGCTCCTAGTTCTAAGCACAACTTCGAAGCACAGCTTACCGCCGATGAGGTAAACGATATACGCCAATATGTACAGAACAGTTGCGAAATGGTAGATCTGAGCAACGAACCGCGCGATGCCGTTACTTTCCCCAATTTGGTTACACGCGCAAATAATCATTTATTAAGGGCACGCCGCGTGCGGGAAATCTTTGATAATTGGTATACAAGAGAGGGACAACAGCAAAGACAAGATGTTTCTTCTCCTAACGCGCGTGAAGGATCTTCGGATACTGACAAACCCACTCAGGTTACGGCAAGAGATGCGGGAGTCTTGGATAATTGGCCTTTTGCAGCAGCTCCAAGTGAGAATTTTAGGCGTGAAAGAAATACGAGCGAGACGGGTGCAGATTTCCCAAGAACTTCTTCTGATACTCAATTATTTCGTAGAAGGTCTTCACTAATCTTAGCTCCACTTCCGGATTTATACCCAGCGCCTTACCCTGGTCAAGCATTTCGGGGTGAAACACGTGGTGAATCTTCAAGAAGCGGCGCTGGTGGAAACGAGGGCAGTAGCATTACTGAGAAGATAGACGTCTTGAGGGCTAAGAATAACATTGCTTCGAAAGCTTCACCCTATGCATCCAGTATTAGTACTACGGATAGTAAGGGAACTACGCAAGGCGGTATGCCTAACTGTCATGAACAAAACGAGGATCATGTATACCAGGAGCCCATTCCCGAAGAAATCATGCGGAGACTTCGAGACTTGGGAGCCTCGCGTGTTGAAGCTGTTAATCTTCTCAACGCTACTGCTGGCAATGCTGATCGTGCGGCTCAAGTTCTGCAAGAGGAAAATCCGCTCGAGCAGGAAGATATGAGGAATTTGCTTGTGGATCCGGAGAATGATCTGCATCAGGTTGTGGTGGTGACGGGTGTTCCGCCCCGGAGAGCCTTTTTGGCTTTGCTTGTTAGTGAAAGTGATGTTGGTGGGGCGATTGATCTTTTAACGGGTGAGGCGATTGGTGCGACGATGAATGATGAGATGCCAATTGATGAGGTCATTAGCGAAGAGGATAGTGGAAATGCATCGAGTGGTAATGAGATGAAGAAAGATAGGGAAGGAGAGGAGCGTGAGAAGAGTAGTAGTGAAGGGTCGGATGTGGAAGTTGCTGAAACGGGGGAGGGATTCGAGCCTCTTGCTAGCGAGACAGGAGATAACGAGGGGGGAGATGAGTTTCGGGAGGGTAAGAGTGAAAGAACGGATGTTGACGCTGCTGAATCGGATGAGGAATACCAGCCTCTTATTGACAACACGGAGAACGACGATGAGGATGATGTACACGATGACGAAGATAACATAGACAAAGATGGATACGCTGACACAGATGACAATGAAGATGATAGTACAGGCGAGGTTCCCACTATTGAGGTGGCGATGGTACTTTCTTCTCGTAAAGGAAAAGAAAGAGCAGAGGGGTACAATCTTTGATAATTGGGCAGATTTTCCTAAAGGGCTGGGTTTGGCGATTAGCTGTATTTCTTTATTTCTTGTTCTTTGAGAAAATATCAGCGGATTGTACACATGTATACGAATAGCGGGCTTGAGAGATAATTGGAACACTTTAGCGTATGATAGATATTTTTCCAACGCTTGATTGTGGACATGAAAGATGATTGATTCTGTTTCGACTTTTGTAATGGATGATATGATTATCAAGTTCATAATTAGTCGTGTAGTAGGTGAAGTCCATTATGTTAATCGCACACGTTGCATCTGCCTCTTATCCGCTTTGAAGCTCTGTCTGCATCTCAGTAGACTGTGGAGAGGTAGAGGGAGTGGGGTGGGAAAAGTGGAAGGGCTGGATTTTGATTCCTCCTTGATTTGTTCATTTGAGGTTTAGGAAAGCGAGCTTCACTTTTGAAACAAGCAATACATAATATCATAACAGTGACAAAGCAGTCAGAATGAATATGGGACCAGCCTAATATATGACCGACAGCACTATATCACAAAACCTCTTCACTCTCCCTCACCTCTTCTCCTCACTTCCGCAAAATCACTCAACACCTTATTCAATCCCTCTCTACGCATACAATTCTCAAGTTTCCAACTTCCCGCCAAAGCATCCAATTGATCTTCATCCAACCCCCTAAAAAGCTCCGCAAACTCATCTGAAAAACTCTTCACAGCGTACGTTTGTACTACTGCTCTCAAAATTTGTCTTTGAATGCCCCACGTTGTCGGATATTCTTCTTTGGCCTTTGGAGCATTTTCTTCGATCCACTTTACGAGCGGGTCTAATGCTTTATCTAACGATTCGGAAGCAGGGGGTCCCCATAAATCGAGCTGGAGCGCGCGTTTCTTTTCAACGAAGGAGGATATAAGGGAATTGTATGGGGAGGAGGGAGATGTGGTTACCATTCCTTGGAGCCCGAGATCTTTGTAGAGCCAGATGCTCCAGGGGATTTGGTATTTATCGTAGATTTGTAGTTGGGCGCCCAGGAGAGAGTAGCGCTGGGCGTTTGTTTCCGAGGCGTTAGGTTCGAGAGATGGATCGGCGTAGACGGGACCGAATTCGCCGTTCCAGCTGGGAACGGAGTGGGTATGCATGAATTTGCATTTGCGTAGGAAACTCGATTCGAGTTGGTCGATTTGGGCGGGGGAGTTGGTAAATGGGGTGCCGGTCGGGAAACCCATGGATGAATAGTCGTGTAGTGAATAGGCGCAGTTGGGGAGGATGGTAGTGAAGTGTTTCCATTCCATGGCGAAAGTATTTCCGTCTAGCCAGAGAATGTGATTGGGGTCTATTTGGCGAATTTCGGATTCGAAACGAGTGTAGAATTCTGGGAGACGATGATGTTGGGGATCGCAGGGCTCGTTGATGGGGTTATAGCCTGCTACCCATGGGTTGTCACGGTAGCGGGCGGCGATTTGCGACCACAGCCATATTGTACGATCTTGATGATCTTTGTGGTCCCAGAAAGAGGCATAGTTTGATGGATTATCAGAATGCCATTCTGGGTTTTGGGAACCAGGGACAGTATGCATGTCGAGGATTGTGTAGATTTTATGTTTGGCGCACTATCTGTGTTAATGTATGTAGACATAGAGGTGCGAGATATACTTACAAGATCAACAACACGATCCAGATGTTTAAATCCACTTTCTTTCAAAACTCTAGGATTCATGTCATCTTCAAAATGACGATAATTGAATGGCAAACGTAGACAATTCAAACCCAGGCTAGCAAAGAATTTGGCATCTTCTTCCATGAAGAAATACTCTAGGAATTTATCAAAGAAGAACTCATATTTCTCCTTGCCGAGGACTTTTAACATGGCGGCTCGATGTTGATGTTCTTGAGCTGGGAAGCCGGTGATGAAGTTCTCCATGTTCATCCATCCTCCTAGACCAGCCCCACGAAGGATGACTGATTTACCAGAGTTGTCGACGATTTGATCGCCTTTTACGCGAAGGGTGCCGTTAGACATGTTGTAAACAGGAGAGAAGCAGCTTGATAACTTGTACGACTATAAAAAAGAGTGCTAACAAAAAGTTCCCTACTGCAAGAACCTTCAATCATAAGAATAAAAAGGAAGTTCGCATGTCTCGAAGCTCAAATTTATATAGTTATACATTTTATGTAATTGAAGTCAAGATCTTTGCATTTAGGCTGATATTCAAAGTTGTAAATATTACTATTCCTGTATAACCCCACCTGTGTTCCCCCACGCTTCCTCCATTTTATCCGAACCAAGAGTAGAATTTGATCAACGACATAAGTTTTCAAGCGTGCCAATCAGACCACTAGATCTTAAGATTAAAGCACTTGCTTGAAGTAAAAAATTGTTGCTGGGTCAAGTGGTGAGTGGGATATATATTTCGGGTGAGCGGTTGGAGGCTCGGGTATACATGGAACACGGAAGGACTTCGGGACGCAATTGATCAATATCCAAAGCTTGCCGAGAGAATGTCAAGCCAATTCCCTGGATTGTGTTTGAGCATCTGGGGATTGTAATGTAGAAGAAACCCGAACTTTCGGCATATACTATTTCATCCACGTTGAAGATTTGGTCTGATCATAGGGGAGATAAACTTCTTCCCAACTATGGGAAGTATGTGACTAGATAGAGGAAGGGAGATGTGATGAGTTTGTAATGTATAAGGCCAAGTCTTTCGATCTGGCTACTCTCAACGAATGAATCCTTTTCGAGTGGGAAAATATCATTAACCTTCACATAAAGATAGAACTATGTTCTGAATCCATGTTCAGCCCAACGCACCGGTGCGTATAACATCAGAACGCATGTGTGATCATGATGAAAATAGTCTGCCTCCACGGCAGTGGCCCCCAGAGGGCCAGCGGAGCGTCATCTCAATCGATTGATGATGACGACAAGCTCTCAAAGTCTCATAGCTCGCTCTATTCAAAGAGATTGCTTCCTTGCACATATTCTCTTGCCAATTCTCCGAAAATAACCCAAGATCTTTCAAATGCCGACCTCGGTCCACTTTCAACACGTGATATACCAAAATTATGCAGCCTTTCCTATTTAAGTTTAGTTTCAACGATCGGGAACCAGCCGGAAACCTTGGTCAACACAAACAACAGCTTATATGAAGTATTACACGAAAAGATTCCTCTCCACCGAAAGTCTTTTTTGTCCCTCATCAAATATTTAATCCACACCAACATTCTTTCTTCCTTTCTCCCTTCCCACCCCCTCATCAAATTATAATATATTTTACATCATGTTCGCCGCAAGAAGAGCATTGACTGGAGCAGTCCAAACCAGAGCTTTCTCTGCTTCTGCTAGAGATGTAAGATAATGTTTTCTCGTCGGATGTTTTTGATTCAACTCATTGGCTTGGCTCCGTCATTTTGTGAATCCCAACTAATTTTATACACAATACAGCTCTCCAAGGTTACCGTCCTCGGTGCTGCTGGAGGAATTGGACAACCATTGTCCCTTCTCCTCAAGTTGAACCCCCGCGTTACTGATTTGGCTTTGTACGATATCCGTGGAGGTCCAGGTTCGTCGAAATTTCTTGAATATATATTGTTGAGGAGATGAAGTCAAGAAGAAGGGAATTGGATGTACAGTTATGCTAATAGGATGTTCAATTGGATAAATAGGTGTCGCAGCTGATATTTCCCACATCAACACCAAGTCCAAGGTTACCGGATATGAGCCAACACCAACTGGTCTCGCCTCTGCTCTCAAAGATGCCGAAATCGTCTTGATCCCAGCTGGTGTTCCACGTAAACCTGGTATGACTCGTGATGATCTCTTCAACACCAACGCATCCATTGTTCGCGATCTCGCAAAGGCTGCTGCTGAGTCTGCACCAAACGCCAACATCCTCGTTATCTCCAACCCAGTTAACTCAACTGTTCCAATTGTTGCCGAGATCTTCAAGGCCAAGGGAGTTTACAACCCAAAGAGACTTTTCGGTGTTACCACTTTGGATGTTGTCAGAGCTAGCAGATTCGTTAGTGAGATCAAGAAGTCCGACCCAGCCGATGAGAACATTGTCGTTGTTGGTGGACACTCTGGCGTTACCATTGTTCCTCTTTTCTCTCAATCATCCCACCCAGATCTCGTCGGTAACGAGAACCTTCTCAAGCGTGTTCAATTCGGTGGTGATGAAGTCGTTCAAGCTAAGGACGGTGCTGGATCTGCTACCCTCTCCATGGCTATGGCTGGTGCCCGTATGGCCGAATCTTTGTTGAAGGCTTCCCAAGGAGAGACTGGTGTTGTTGAGCCAACTTTCGTTGACAGCCCATTGTACAAGGATCAAGGTGTTGATTTCTTCGCTAGCAAGGTTGAGTTGGGACCAGATGGTGTTCAAAAGATCTTGGAAGTCGGAAAGGTTGATGCTGCTGAGGAGAAGTTGTTGGAGGCATGCTTGGCCGATTTGAAGAAGGTTCGTTTTCCCATGATACTGAGGAGGCTCATTTCTATTTCCTTTGGATTTAATACTAACGTGTCTTTCTCATAGAACATCGCAAAGGGTGTTGAATTCGTCGCCAAGAACCCAGGAAACTAAACTCAAAAAATCTCTCCAAAAATCCCTATGATCAATAGTCCGAAAATACCCACCTTTCAACAAACCTCAATTCCTGAAATGAATATTACAATGAATCTTTGAGTTCCTCAATTCCAATGCAATACTAGCGCTTTCTTTTCGCATGTATGTACACGTATGATGAAATGAAGGAATATAGATAAGATTTCGATTTTTTTGATGAATTCGATGGATATATGTTTGGTCATGATTTCAGCTCTTTGATCTCAGGCAATGTATTATGCAAGCGATGTAAAATTATAATGAAATGACTCCTCTATTATTGATATATTTCTGTTGGCTCTTTGCATTTAAAGTAAGTTTCTAGTCATGAAAATGAGAATCTACCCTCCTTCTCTAACCCCGTGCAATCGTCTTCTGTACTTTTAATCGCCATTTACTTTCTGCAATCTCGATGCATCCAATTTCATATCCCATCCACCCACCCGTTCCGAATCCCGCCCTAACCGACTTCTTTTCTTCGACTGCTTCCCTCCGTTCTCCATTCTCCATCCTCCACTATCTATTCATACCATCCATACTTTTTAGCACCTGGTGGGTGGGTGGGGGGAAAAGGGGGGAAATACCGCGGGAAAGAGGGGCGATGATGAGGGAAATTGACTGTGGATGTTTTTGGTGGGGTTGCTGAGCTGAGCTGAGCTGAGTTTGAATCCTGAGTGAGTGACTGAGTGAGTGACTGAGTGACTGAGGAAAGTAAGCGAATGGAGAATGAAGAATGGAGAATGGAGAATGAAAAAGAAAAAGAAATAAAATATAAGAAGTACTTAGTTACTGGGTTGGTAGGTTCATCATGTGTATGTACGTACCTACCTACATACCTACCTACTACCCAGCCACCCCACCAACAAACACAAAATGTTAAAATGTTAAAATATTAAAACATCAAAAATATCAAGCGGGGTTTTCTTCTACCTTTCTTTCTCCCTCTTCCTCTTCCTTTCTTCCTTTCTTCCTTATCCATTTATTCATTTGTCCATCCACATGTAAATGCGAATGCAAATGCAAATAAACTCATACTCGAAATCATTCATTCATCCATCCCATCTCCTAACTAACCCACACTCAACATTTCACACCCACCCACCACCCACTCAAACCATCCACCCATCCAAGATTCATTCCCCTCTCAAACCCCAAATCCCAAATCGCAAACAGAAATTGAAAAAGGAATCGAAAAAGAAAAAACAAAAACAAATTGGAGATGCCCGGGATCGAACCGGGGACCTTTCACAAACACACATAGTTATTAACTCATTAGATCTCAGGGCGCAAGAGAGCTCATGAGGACGAGAGAATGAATGCGAAGCGAACATAATACCACTATACTACATCCCCGAGTATTATTGGAGTGAATAGGAGAGTTTGAGGCGATATATACTAAGGGTGGATTTGATGGGGAGGTGGTGGGTAGATGGCTCGCGGGTAATACGAAAAATAACACACATGTTATTTTAGCCTCAATTCATATTAATTATTAAATTATCATATAATAATATCAATTTATTATAATTACTATAAGAATAAAATTAATTCTCAGAAATATAATAAAACCTTTATTAAAACTAAAACTCAAGTTATACTGAATAAAATAGCTAATAGAATAGTTGATATTTTCAAAACTCGAGTTTTTAAAGTCTATAATATTATTATAGAAGCTACCTCTAGGATCATATAGAAATATCTAAAGATCTCTTGAAATGATTTAGATTGAACTTCAAATAAGGATTTAATAAAATTATAACTAATTATAATTCTTATAATTATAATAATAAAACTAATAATTATTCTTAAATATAAAGCTTTATATTATAATAAAATTTATTCTTTTATATAAATCTTTATCTTATTTGAATAACTAAAACAACTAATTACTTCTAAAGTACTATCGTTTTTAAACTATTTATTATAAAATACTAATCTTATAACTCTTAATATCCTAGCTTATTCTTTTATTCTAAAATTAATTCTTTAGAACATTATTAATCCTAATAAAGCCTTTTTATTTATTATATTCTATCTTTTCTAAAACCTATTATTCTAGAAATTATATTCTAGGTTTCTAAAGTATCCTATAACTAATACTATATATATATCTAAGACTTTCCTTGAATATCTAATATCCCTTAATATATTATAACTGAATTATTAAGGCCTATAATATTATTATAATCTATATATTAGTGATTCTATAGCCTATTATTAATTCATTATAACAAATATTATATTTTATATTGAATATTGATATTGATATAATTATAATTCCAGATACTTATATAATTTTATAATCGAAAAGAGATTAAAGGAATAAAAAGAATTATTACTTTTTATAATATATATTATAGAGATTATAATTTAAAGGTATTATAACGAATTAATAACAGGCTATAAAATCATTAACTTATAAACTATAATAATATTATAGATCTTAGTAATTCAATTATAGTATATCAAAGGATACTAAATACTTAAAAAAAGTTTTAGATATATATATAATATTAGTTATAGGATACTCTAAAAATCTAAAATATAGTTTTCAGAATAATAGATTCTAAAAAAAATAAAATATAATAAACAAAAAAACTTTATTAAAATTAATAATATCTTAAAGGATTAGTTTTAAAATAAAAAGAATAAATTAGAATATTAAAAGTTATAGAATTAGTATTTTATAATGAATAGCTCAAAAACAATAATACTCTAGAAACAATTAATTATTTCAGTTATTCAAATAAAATAAAGATTTATATAAAGAAATAGTTTCATTATAATATAAAGCTTTATATTCAAAAATAATTATTAGTTTTATTACTATAATTATAAGAATTACAATTAGTTATAATCTTATTGAATTCCTATTTGAAGTTTAGTCTAAATCATTTTGAAAGATCTCTAATTACTTCCATATAATCCTAGAGGCAGCTCTTATAACAAAAGGAAGGGATTTAAGGTTAGATTCCTTAATTAGAAGTAATTAAAAGAGGTATATAAATTAAATCAATTTGAAAGAATTGTTATATAAACTCTAGAATTTATAGAATATTAAAAATATATAACTTATTATAAGGAATAGGTTATATAAAATACAATTATTATTAAACTCTAATTTACTTATAATATATTAATTAAATATCTTATTTTGAAAAATTAAAGAAGAGTTAGATTATTTGATAAGTATTATTAGGATTTCGAGTCTAAGGGAAAATATAGGATTATTAGAAAGTTAGAGTAAAGGTTTTATTCTGAATATATTTAGTTTAAAGGAATAGAAAAAAAGAAATATTGTAATAAATAGTAGTATTAAGTAATAATAAACTATAACTTTAAGAATAATTTTACATATTATAATGTTCCTAAAAATCGTAATAATAAGTTGTTTTATAAGGTATATTATTACGGAGGTACTCATACTATAATATGAATTATAAGATAAAGGCGAGCTTTAATGTTGTAATTTATAAAAACAATATTATAGGAATTATAAGATTAATAGATAGTTAGAAATAAGAGTAATTAAATAAGTAATTAGTAAATCAGGAAAAATAGATATTTATTTTTATTAATATTTATCTTATAGTAAGTATAGAGTAGTTATTTATTATAGATTATTTAGTAAGTATAGATTAGATAAATAGTAATATTATTGAGAGTTATAGGAATAGATATTATATAATAAGTTATTCTATTAATTCTAATAAATGAAATTAATAAGATAATAGAGAATAAAGGTTTATATAAGGGAATAGGTTTTATTATAATATAAAGCTTTATATTTAAGAATAATTATTAGTTTTATTATTATAGTTATAAGAATTATAATTAGTTATAATTTTATTAAATTCCTATATGAAGTTTAGTCTAAACTATTTTGAGAGATTTCTAATTACTTCCATATAATCCTAGAGGCAGCTTCTATAATATATATATCGATTTTATATTAAATATAGAGATAAAATAATAATTAATATATTAAAGAATTTTATACTTAAGGAAAATAGTAATTTAGAGTATAGCTATAAGTACAAAAGGAATAATATAATAAAGAAATAGAAGAGAAATTATAATTTAAAGATCTATCAAAACTATTATAATAATTCTAATTTCTTAATTATCAAAAATATCTCATTAATCCTAAAACAAATTATATAATAGTATGTTTGTTAGAATAATATAATAATATAGGAATTTATAAATAAGAATTAAAAGAAAGTTATTTTTGAATATATTAATAAATTAGTAGATATTATATTTTAAAGATTTAAGAATATTATTAAAATGAAAAAATAGTTTATTAAATAGTAAAAAAGTAATAAAAAGAGTAATTTTGAGGGTGGTTTTTCTTTTCAAAAGAATTATTTTAAAAGGGATTTGAATCACAATTATAGCTTTTATTAATTATATAATAATATTATTCAAAATAGTATTAATATTAAATCTTTCATTTTATATAGAATCTCATAGTTTCAGGGAGAGTTAATTTAAAAATCTTGATTAATAAAAGTGAGTCTATTTTCTGTAATAAATTACTCTACAAATATTATATTTAGAATTATAAAAACTATATAGAATAAATCTCTAATGTTGATTTAGTAAAGTTATTATTCTAATCTTATTATAAATATAAAAAGTGGTTATATTAAATTAATTAAAAGAAAGTTGTTATTCTATTGATTGAGATTTATTAATTTGTATATGTTATTTTTCGCGTCACCCGTGAGGGTGGGTATGATGAACACGATGAATATGTAGGTAGCTAAGTAAATATGAATGAATAAGACTCAGAACATCCATAGAAAAGATAAAAGATAAATGTAAACATCAAAATGCATTGCTATTCATAAGTTGACTAAGCTCTAGGACTGCTATGCTATGCTATGTAACTAAGGATGTGTGCAAAAAATCTCGCTCATGACACACTTCATCCCATCCCCTCCTAACCTAACCTAACCTATCCAATATCCTCATCCCCATTGAATCATAAAATGTGGAATGTTTGTTACCATGTGTAAGCTTCCACATGTATCATTTCCCCATCCCCATCCCCATTGTTTCTCCACCCGCACACCTCAATTGTTGATAACCGGAAATCCCCTCCAAAAGTTGAATGAAATCAATCCATAAAAAATATACCAGAGTAGGAACATTGCCAATAACCAAGATTACCAGCTTACTCACTCCTGTCTTCAACATTCCGCGGCTATCCCCTCCCCAAATAACCAAAGAAAAAGAAAAAGACAGGCCATTGAAAATTTCCTTTTATTTATG